ATGCTCTATAAAACAGAATACATTTTGCATGGAAACGCCACTTCGATCAAGTATCCATCCCTTGTTAGTCTGGAAGACAGTCGTTCTTCATCACTCATAACAATTTCAAATGAAAAATTTCCTCTGGTGGTTTCCTTTATGAGGCCGAAGATGCAAATGTCGAAAACGCTTTGCTGCACAAGAAACTTTGCTTTAAGCAGTCACAAAACGAAGGTCATTAGGTTTACTTCGAAAATAAAATGCAGGTCTTGTAGAGCAGAATTGGTCCTTTTGGACAGTATAAATACTTTGTTGAAAACCAACCGCTTCACTAGGGGCGGTATGTATCAATCGCCCGTCCGCGTACGGGTTTTCATTCAGGTAGTATCCGCTTCAAAGCTCGCTGCTCTAGGGATCTGTGTTCTACCTTGTTTGTCCATCTTTTATTTGTCTATCTTACTACTCTAATGTTGTAGCATAATGAATAGCAGCATTTTGCTCTATAAGCTGAGACTTTTAGTATTTTGTATGATCCCGAACGGGATCTTCAGGGAATTACGACTCATTCATAAGGTCATTTATTAGGTTGTCGGATAATTTCTGTAACACTTTTTTCTAAATTTTCTAGGAAATTCCAGAAATTTTCTGAAAACCCCATATCTGCGGTCTACCCATCCCCATCAGCATGATTGATGCCGCAAGTGCAGTAATGACATGACCAACAAGTTTACGGCAGTTTTGTAAAAGCAGTCAAATTTTTCAGTTTTTGTCCGATCTTTTCTCTGCGCCTACCTGCGCTTTTCCTCTTCCAGAATTTTTTAAGAACGTATTTTGGTCGTCTCTTACATGTAGGCACTCCGGTGCCTCTAGCGTTCCAAAAACTAAGGGTGAAAAAACATCGAAAAAGTTCAAAAGCTCTCCTAAATTTTCTTTTTATGTGCTTCGTATAGAAATGAACACAGAAAATAGAAAAATGATTTTTCAAAATTTTTTGCAGAGGTTTTCTTCATAAAAATTCGATGATTGCAAAAATGGCGCACACTGAGATTTGATCCGCTCAAGTTACGACTATGCTTTACCTGATTACCATATTGCTCGGTTTATCGCTCATCACCTAAGAGAACGCCAGCTCATTTCAAAAATGGGAAGAAACGGATTTTCAGCCACAAAGTGGGTGTTTTGCGCACGGATCGCGGTTGCGACGGTACCCTTGTATAGGCCTTTTAACCCTGCCCATACGCCGTGAACATGAAGTCTTTCCAAAGCTTCTGGGATTTTAAGAATTAAAATAAAAAAGTGTAACAAAAATTATCCGACAACCTAATATATTTGAAAAAAAAACTCAATGAAAAATTTGTAAAGATATGCTGTCGACCTAGTATAGCAGTGCTGAGCATTCTTGTGGAAATAATAGGTGAAAACTCAAATTGACGAAATCTTTGATGAACCTCTGCTCGCGAGGAGGGTTTATCGAAAAATTCAAAACTTTCGCATTTCTTCTACTACTGGAAACATGCTTAGAATTGTTGTAATAGATCAACAGCATAACTTTACGAAGTTTTCATTGAGTTTTTGCGAAGATAAATGCTGTGATCTCCTATGGATCCCGTTCTGGATTATACAAAATACCGAAAATCTCAGCTTATAAAGTAAAGTGCTGCTGTTCATTATGCCACGATATTAGGGTAGTAAGGCCTCCAAAAGATGTACAAACAAAGAAAGAACACAGACCCCTAGAGCAGCGATCTATGAAGCCAACACTACCTGAATGGGAATCCTCATCGCGATTGATACATACCGCCTCAGAAAACGGAGACAAAAATAAAAATGCTTCGAAGTCATGAAAAGACTCAATAGTTGGATACCATTACCTATTGTTTTGTAAAAGACTCAATCTGCTATGAACTTCTTGATTATCTCCATTCTACCTTTACTACACTGTTCTTGCTGTGTTATCACTATACCGTTTTTGGAGGGCTACAAGTAGTGGTTGCATTGATTGGTGATTGTATGTTGATTGTATCATCTTTTCCTTTTTGTTTATCATGCCTTCGCCTGAAGACTACATGACAGCTCTCTTGTCTTATTGCATTCAGGCCTCCTCGATGGGTGTCGGAGGAGAACAAGAGGGGACGCATCATTTCTTGCTGCGCTGAATATAGCTGGATGAAAGGACATTGCCACCAAGCTGAAAATTTTCGTGTTTCTGGGGATCCTCCGCTGATTACCCTAGTTTTTGTATTCGTCTTTTTCCCCTTAAACTCCATGAAAACGTCGGTTTTACTGATAAGGAAAGGATGGTTGGTCGAAGTGGCCATTTGAGATGCTTTATACTGTGGTGGAGGGCATAAAACGCTGATTCCAAATCTGTCTTTCTATCTGCGGCGCGTTCCCGGACGAGGAGTTATGAGCGTTTGAAGGAGCAAAAAGAGTGTTTTTTATGGGATAAAAACAGTTGCTGAAATTTTCCCAGCGCTTCAATGAGACAGCCGGAGTGCGGATATATCTCACCCAAGAGTATTTATTTTGAAGAGTGCTGGAAAGATTACCACTGGTCATTTGAGCGCTAAGAATGATGTTACTGCTGTTTTTATATCATTTGCACATTCAATTTTTTTCCAATAAATGCTCATGACTTCTCGTGCAGGAAGACGCCGCAGATAAGAAGATAAATTTGAAATTAGCGTTTTATGCCCTCCATAATGGTATACAATTCATCGCAAAAGGCCACTGTGACTGACCATCCTTCTCTTGTAAGCAGGGAATGGTCAGAACTAAATCCAACTACCAAGTGTGCTGTATATCATCGGACTCGTCTTGAAACGCTGATCACGAATTTTAGGTCGGTTCAAAAGTTCGCGCTGTTTTTTCAGACCCATGCTCAAACCACTTAGAATAAAGATAGACAAAAGCTGTAAGCAAATCCAATGCAGAATTTCTTCCTCTTTCTAATGGTTATGTTTTTGTTCAGATTCCCTCGACGTCCGCTCAATAATCGGCAAGGATCTCCAGCCCATGAATTTCGCCCATCATCAGTTTGGGTTTTTTTTTTAAATTTCCATCTTCAACTTTTAGACTAGCTTTGATAACAGTTGGATAGAATAAACAAAATGCAATACAATGAACTTTGGCTTCATCAACTAACTCTTCATTACCTCTTAAAATAATTTTTCCGAAGGCCCTTACTTTTGCGAAGTCGCGAAATACACAATCGCTTCAGACACTGACAAATCTTCGGAATCTCAGACAAATGACCGGAACTTCCGCAGAGGGCTTGCGGAAGTTCCGCCGGGTCACCTGCGGAAGTTCCGTAGACTTGCTGCGGAAGTTCCGAAGAATGCCAACCACAACAGCAAAAGGGAACACCGAAGCGAGATTTGAATCTCACTCTATTGACTGTGAGACCCAGCTATTATCCTCTACGCTAGGCTGACATGTTCGATAATGCACTCTAGTTGTTGGCAAGGCAACATCACGAGACAACACATTCAAAGTCCTGCGGAAGTTCTGGCAGGCCAAAGTGCTGCGGAAACTCTGGCATTTTTCGGAATTTCCGCAGGATTTTGAAGGAGGTTCTGCGGAAGTTCCGGTTTTTAACCAGTTTGGCATGAAAATCGAGCGGAAGTTCCGATTTTCAACGTTTTCATTTTTGCAATAGTGAACAAAATCCTGCGAAACTTCTGCAATTTTAGCTTGTCCTGCGGAAGTTCCGGTGATTTGTCTGAGATTTGAGGCTTCCAAAAACAGCTTATTACTCAACGATTTTAGTAAGCAACTGAGCGTTCAGCGGTTCAAAATAATGGATTTCAAATTTTCTGGGTACAGCCTGGGACGAGTCTGGAAGGAAGAATTATACTGATTTTATCCTGGTATATTATAAAAATTAGGAAAAAATAGTCTATCAGAAAGAGGAGGAAAAGCTGCATCGAATGACACCCTACTAGCTAGTCGCTCATTGTTCTGCGAGATGAGATTCCCAACAATAAATTTAATAGCATCGGAAAAATACTTTCAAAAATTTTAAGAAGCCAGCTAGAGATGCCAGAAAAATATATTGCATTGCATTTTGCTTATTCTATGCAATTGTTATCAAAGCTAGTCCAAAAATTGAAAATGGAAATTTTAAAAAATAGTCAAACTGAAAATGGGTAAAAATTATAGGTTGGAGATTCCTGCACATTGTTGAGCGGACATTGAGGGAATCTGAACGTAAACATAACCATTAGAAAGAGGAAGAAATTTTGCATCGGAACTGCTTACAGCGTTTGTCTATCTTCATTCTAAGTGGTTTGAGCATAAGTCTGAAATACAGCGCGAACTTTCGGACCTACCTAATACATGTTTATCCCAAATCATTTTGCGAAAAAGGCCTAAGAATATGATGGGATCGCTGGCAAGGAAATGGTAAGAAATGGTCCGCAAATCCGAACAAGATGTATATCATCGCACTCACCTTGAAATGTTGGTCTCAATCATTAGTTCATTGTTGTATGAACGACTATCGCGATGGAGATCAAGCGTTGAATGTGAATACTTATTAAACCCTAACAAACAAATTTCTCGATAAGGAAGCTTGAGGGCACGTCATTACAGTGAGTTAAGCATCTTGGTTACAGGAAAAAGCACACCAAAAAGAAGCACACCAGAAACCCACTAAAAATCTAAGCAAATTTTCCGTTTTCACTAGAATTTGTTGCACAAAACTTGAGAAATCCGCATTTATGAATGCTCATAACTCCTTCCAAATAATCGCTCATGTTGAACAGATATATTCAGGGTCTTTTCAAGGCAAGTGCGATGATATACAGTTCTGGATTGGCTAAATTGCGTTTTGACCGTCTTACTATAAGTTTTTGATCAAAGTGGCCCACTCATTCCTGTAAAATGCTAAGGGCCCCCTTTTTTTTGGGAAAGTTGGCTTTGCTCTGAGTGCCTATTATTTATGAAAAACAAAAGTCTTAGAGAGCATTAATAGAAAAAATTTCTCCGTACAAAAAACGCTTTCTTTCCGATACACTTACGTTTTGCGGGAACCTGCATCGCGCTCCAAAGTCCTAAAAATATGTTGCTTTACGATCTTATTTGTTTTTTTTGATTCATCCAACCTTTCTACTGTTGACGAGGCAACTCTATATTGCACGTCGGCCTCTTCTTCAATTGTGGTTGTCTCTTCCATCTACAATTATAAAACTAGCTGCGCCCTGCGCGTATTTGGAAGCCAACCGTGGCCTGGGAGTCTGTTGGAACCCTACTAACTCCTTTTATGTCATTCAAAGTAAATTTCTCAGCAGGCGGTGGCGGATGTTTTTTGCTAGCTGAAAACAGTAAGGAACAAAGCTGTTTCATTGTGGGACGTTGCGTTGGATCGAGGACCCTAAAACGACCACCTTGATAAACGTAAGGGAGACGCCAATATCAGTGAGAAGAGTAGTGCTAACCAAATTTTTGAAACAATGCTTTTGACTTCTTCTGGAGTTTTTTCTGGCATCTCTGGCATTTGACACTTACGTATCATAGTTGCTATTTTTTTGGGTGGATCATTGGGCCAAGGTTTTATACCACAGTTGAATATCTGACAATGTGATTCAATCTTCCTTGCTCTTTCATTGATCTCATCACATGGCTGTTGTCACAAGTATCAATACTGACCTCATATGTCATTACTCCGAATGACCACACGTCCGTCTTTGTGCTGAATTTCATAGGCCGACGAAGCGATTCGGGAGCCATCCATCTGGAATGTTACACACACTATACATACCTAATGCTCGCAAATTCTGATAAATGCTGAAAGCAAATATAACCAGTGTTCCATTAGGCCAAAACATCGTTGTAAAAGTTGCGTAATCGCATTATAGCGGCTCGCACTACATGCGCGCAAGGCACTGTCGGAAAAGTTGAAGCACAGGCTCCCGCCAGAGTGCCGAAGTTATGCCAGCGCTAAGCCAGCACTTCGATCGATACACGTGTATTTCGTTGGGGCGGGGCTAGCTGATGTTCCCAACGAAATACACGTGTATCGATCGAAATGCTGGCGTAGCGCTGGCATAACTTCGGCACTCTGGCGGGAGCCACAGGTGCGTTAATTGGGAAAAGCCTTCTACCTTTCCAGGGGCAGTACATACCAATCTGCCGTTCGGGTAGGCGTTCGCAAAGAATTCTTAATCCAGTCAAACGGGTCGCCACCTGATCGTGCAAGAGCCTGGTCAAACAGAATCGGGTAGGTCTGCAATGCCTGAACGCCTACCAGATCTCGTTTGTGTCTACCTTAAAATCTCAGAAAAGATTGCCTTCAGGTAAATCCGCCTTAGGCCCCGGGCAGACTTCACGCGATTTGATCGTCGCGACTGAGTCGCGACGAGAAAACTGTTACAACATCATTCCATGCCAATCAACTTGCATTCAATTGTGATACTTTTTCAGCCAAAATTTTTGAATGTTAAATGAAAATGAATGGAAATCTTGGCGATTAGATCGCGACGATTAAGTCGCGTGAAGTCTGTCAGGGGCCTTACAGATAAGTTCGTCTTTTCGTTAAAACTACTCTGAAATTTCGTTAGAAAAGTCCCAAAACTGTCAGATAAGTCCGGGCTTATCTGTAGACGGACCTAATTAATGGGAGGACTTATTTGCAGGATTTCTGGAGGTGCAGGGTGCATTTTCATCGATTTTTCTTGTCAAAAAGCGGACTCTTCTGTAAGATTCTAGGGTACATTGTGTGAAAAAGCGCGTCTCTTTTATTAGGTGCTCCAAAACGTTGGCAGAATGACGATTCAATCACTAGCCATCGAATAAGATCCAATAATTGTTATGTTGCGATTTGTCTGGTTTGACGTGTATTTGTTTCCATTATGAAATTTGCAAGGTTTGCAGAGCCCGATCTCTCCAGTCAGGGTTCTGATTTTCGTGTAAATCTCAATATTGAATCAAATTAAATGTCAAAACCAGGGCCCGGCACGAGGTTATCAAATGACAAGCTTTAAATCGTTTTCTGTAAAAAAAAGCAAAGGGGATATCGTTTTTGCAGGGTCCGGGGCGAAGCCCCGGAAAAATTGGTAGTTTATGCCCTCTGCTTATTTTAACATGTTATGTGCCTCAACAGGCGAAACACTGGAGTTCGCGCGCGTCAAACCACGCCGTCGCTAATTGCCGCACACGCGACGTCGCTCAAGCGATGCTATTTGTGACAGCATACATGACTAGTTCTCAATGTATGTGCAACGATATGGCACCAAATTTTGTATGCTAACGGAGAGAGGCTAGTGGAAACAAACTATGAAAAAATATGAAAAACTTATGTGAACGGAACGAGTAATTAGCATTTTTTCCGGAATTTCGCAAAATTGAAATGAAGATGTGAATTCAAATGGCTCGTTTGGAACGCGCAGATGACGATATGGTATGAAACTTGGTAAGTACATGCATACGGGCTTGTAGGGCTTAACTGAGGAGTTTCATTGAAAAATTATGTGACTGAAAATCGTGGCAAACTTTTTTCTGAAAATTTCCGCTACCCATGAAACCGAAAAATGGCTCGTTTGCAACGCAGAGGCGACGAAGTGACGCGGGATTTGGTGTGTATCTGCGCAGTAGGACTAAGTAACAAAGTATGAAATATTATGAAAAACTTATGTGAATGAAGAGCATGCTTAACTTATCTCCAAATTAGCTTGTCATTTCAAGCTAATGACAAGCTGAGCTTGTCAAAACTCTCAGTTCACATAATTTTTTCAAAATTTTTACATAAATCTACTCTACACCTAAACATTAGTATGTATTGAAATTTTGGTTTCAAACCTCCTCCTCTCCCCATTGCTAGAGGCAAAAATAGACTCAGCAGTCCCGTTTCCTAAGAAGGAAGGCGCGCTCCAATCGAACGGCGTATCGCTGAGTCCTTTAATGGTGTTTATATTTCGTTACTTACCTACTAGTTTCCACTTGCTGCTTTATACTGCTCTACTTTTTCGTAATCTGCTTTTTCACTCTTCCCCCCCCCCCTCCTTCCAGCGCCCAGCTTCTAGTCTTCGTAAAGATCGGTGAAATCGAAAAACGTACATTCACCTATATGTGTGTGAGACGATTCAACTTTTTTTATAGCAGATTGTACATCATCCTTTTCGAAGCTTTAATCGTATAGTTTTCCTAATCGTTTTTCCCCGTAAGTGGTCATTAGATTTTATTCACGTTATGGTGATGTTTGAATATCAATGAGACGAAAAAGATCTAAATACGATAAAAAACCAAGATTTTGTATCTTGTAGGATTTAGAGAATCTATAGTCGGTGAGAATTGTTGCTATTGCTCTTTGTTTATGGAACTACTTTTTTCTCTTTCAGGTGATGGCACGAGTAGTTGCCAATGTGGTAGATATGCAACAACATCTTGTAAACCAGTATATCAGACGTTGTCAATTCGATGGAATCATTGAAGGTTGTCTGTTTATCCAAATGAATTTTTCTAGCATTATTGGTCATTTCTGGCTTCAGAATGAGTTACATACATTTACGCAATCACTGAGAAAAGATTTGAGATGAACTGACGATCGGGCTCAGAAGCAGGTATGTACCCCGTTGTCAAGTTTCTCTTGAAATATGTATTTTGTCTCAATTTTTTTATCGTTTGACATATTTTACTTGATTCTTGATGTAATTCTCCGGGTAGGGGAACGAAGGCCTCCATTTTGAGCCGTCTTTCGCGGCCAACTGGTCCATCAATGTTGTTGCATGTCGTTGCGGGCCAGTAGTCCGCGGAGGCGGCCCGAGCTGGCGGCTTTCGTTCCCCTACCCTAATTTTCCTTGATTCTTGATATCATTTTCCTTGAATGATCTGTATATCTTTCAGGTTGACGATTTGCGAGCTACTCATGCTAATGAAGTGAAACGCTTGATGGATTTGATCAAGACTTCGCTCATAAAAGGTACGGCGGCCGCAGCGGCCGGCGGCCAAATGGAATATCACATTGGGCAAGTCATCCTAATATCTCATATCAAACATGATCATTCACTCCTATCGCTCTAATGGTTTTTTATCCGTTCTGTAATTATTGTCGTAGGTCTTGAGCATTATTGTTGTAGGTGTTGTGCATGATCTTCATGAGTTACTCAATGTTCTTGCCACTACGTGTGAAGAAGAATTACAAGCAACGAAGAGAAGATTCCTTTCATACTCGCTGTGGCAGTTCAGTGAGGTGAATTTTTCAGGTATTGCACTTCTCAATGCGGTGAGGTAGATTGAATTTCGCAGACTTCTTGTCACATATGACACTCGAAAATTCAAAACATTGTTTTCAATTGCTGCAAAAACATACTGCGTATTTAGCAGGCTAAATTCTTTCTATCAGAGCGCAAACGATGAATATTATGAAGCCGTACGTATAAATTGAACTGCTGCAAAGTAGTCCAAAATTTGAAAGCAAAACTCCAGACTCTTTTTGACGCGATCGTTGATCAGCAGTTTACCCTTTATGTTCTGCGCCGATCTCCTCGCACAACTTCCACTTCGGCCGCTTTTTTCGCGCATTTTACTGTTCTAATTTTCGGCAGGAGGGAGGACTGCACTTGCATGGAGGCGCTGCGTTCTCAAACACTGTGTGCCGGCGCATCAACACTTGCAAGATTTCAAGGGCAAATGGTGGTAGTATGCCTTGGGGTGTCTTCGAATGGGAAGATGTGCAAGCAATGTCGTGAGGGCAAATATTATAGAGTTAAAAATTGGCGCATAATGATGAAGAAGTTTATTTGCCGTCTTGCAGATCTCATTTTTATCTGTTGTTATGCCATTGTAAGGCTAATGGCGCGATAAAGGCTCGCAAAGAGTTAGAGCTGCATTGTGGCAGATAACAAGCTTTTTCAATTTCGTTATTCCTTCCTTCATGAAAGAAGGCACATGAAATACGATCTCTCGCTCCCAGTAATCAAAATTTTCATGGGTAATCCAATAATTGTTGCTATTTTTTAGACAAGTGATTCATCATCATCACAAACCGCGGCGCCATCTTACGGAGACGCACCATGCTCTCTAGCGAGCAGAAAAGAACTTGTTTCAAAGAGGTGAGTGTATGATACCGCTCTTCAAGTTTTTGGTTTACAAGTTGATATTTTTTTCTGTATTGGGATGTGCCGATATTGTGCGAGTGAAAGCTAAGTTGCGAGCACCATGTTTCGGACTTACAACTACAGAGCTGCGATGCTGTCAGACAAATCGCGGGTTCAAGGTAAGAGTTGGTCTTTGTGGTGTGTTATGAAAGGAAAACTTGGTACGGAATCTTGACAATAGTCTTGGTGACATTGTCAAGACAATTTTAGCCGTTTTAAATCAGGGAGTTTTCCCAGTTGGAATCAGTTTGTTGCTTACGGGAATGACGAAGCTGTGCATCCTATTTTGATAGCTTTCAGAAGGTGCACATTTGGAGTGATTTGACAATACCGAAGATGTTCATGGGCATTGTGAGTGTTTTCGAACACCATTGACTCAGCTGTCACTTGAGAAAAGCCATCTGTCCAATTTTTGTCTATCAGCCGGCGACAATTGAAGCATTACTAAGGAAGTATTTTTGCATGGAAGTGATTCGAGGAGCCACATGTAATAATTGTAAAACGCGAAATGAAAAAGCGAGGCTTTAGCAAGGTGAGTATGGACAAATATATTGAAAATTTGTTTATTCTCTTTCTTAAAATAATCTATTTACACACAAAATGATTTTTGAGTGCGACGCTCAACGGCGCCGACAGCACT